AGAGCGATTAATTGTGTGAATGAGCTGTATAGCTATAGAATTTCGGAGGGGCCAGGTAAAGGTTTGTTCGTAAATTGGACTTTATTAGTGCAAAAATACTAGGAGTAGCAGCTCAAGATGATGTATACGTGAGTTTGGATTGCTTTCTCGGCAAAAACATACTGAAGCACTAGTTACTAAAATTATCCAGGCAAGATGCTTGTGTTAAATTTTTAAATTATTTGCACTGTTACCCTGTATAAACATCTAAGGTAGACAACTAAAGTATGTTCTTTATCCTGCTTAGCAGGTTAAATGTTAAGTGATATACCGTATAATAATTCATTGGTTGCATCTCTTTTGGAAAATGGGCAATATTGGTTTATTGGCCAACCAACTTTATTTCCCAACATTAAAATAGACCAACGTTGGGCAATAAAGTGGATGCAGCAATATTTTCTTAACCGAGCGCCGCATTTGTGCATAGAAAAGACGCGAAATTTGGTTCATCCTAACGACGACACAGATCAGCAATTTGCCTGCATCTGACAAGAAACAATTACTTGAAACTAATCAGCATTTAAGCGAAAAGTAAAGCAGCACCTTAACTTACGTAATGCGGTCAGTTCCCATACTACAAAGTCGGAGGCAAACACGATTTCAAGCTTTTCTATTAGTTTAATTAGAAGTTACCATTTGCAGCTGCGCTGAACAACGCAACCTTACTTACCGTCATTGTCTATACCGATAACCGCTATAACAAATCGGTTTTGAGATTATCCAAGCACTTTGCATGCAAACTGCGTGCAGAAAACTAATTTCGGTCAGCAGTCAAAAGTATAACTACACATGCCTATTGTAGTTACTCTGTTCCGCGATTTTCGCACGACTACATGAAAACAATGAGCAATGCGTTACAGGTGTGCTCATGCAAAACGGAAATTTACGATTGTTAACAACTTCGTGGTGACCTGTCGGGGTAAATATTCTGGTTAATTCAATTTAATGTAAGACCACATAATGTAATACAAAAACTGGCTGGGTAAGATATGGGCAGATACAATCTTCACAGTGTGGTGGATGTGATAAAGGATAGTTGTGAATGGTTTCTGTTGCAGCCGTTATTGCTTGTGTAATTATATGCACGTGTATAGTAATGTATGTATTTAACTCTTAGTAAGCCAGCGTTTTTATACTCTTACTTCATTTAGATTATTGATGGTGCCGAGGGGTTATCTAAACTTCTCGTTTTGGTATGGTAGCCTTTGAAGTTTTTCATTCTAGTTGGCAGGGTGTGAATTTGCCTTTGGTCATTGTACCAATGAAATGTTGGAAATATCGTTTACTCAACGTTTGTATAGCAATTCCTAGATCACCAGTGACTTAGCCCCGTTGATTCCGTTCAATGCTACATTCAGCGAAATTGAGGGCTTCGGAATACGACTGCTTGCTTTTGTATTATTATCTGGAAAACTAAACAACCGGTAAACAATGGGACTTGATTGCATGTTTGATTATGTATTTCTCTTGTGATTCTTGCGCACGGCGTACTGGTGTTTGCTGTGTTATCAAAAAATCGCTGTTTCCAAATATTTTAATTTGCTGAGCAAAAGATGCATTTCCTAGCAGTATTGTTTTCCAACGACCAGATGCTTACAGGAACAATAATTAGATGGCTTCGATGTAACAGTTGGTCGAATTTTCAATATCTCGCAAAGCGCCAAAGTACAGTAGTTATTTGCAAACGGCTTTTGAAACGGATTTTATCAATTTTGCCCTGCATAATTACCTACCACAAGTTGTAGCTTCCGTCTCTGCAGTAAAGCAATGCAACTTATGCCTTCTACTAAATCCCGGCCTGTTAATTTACTGCCAAGTTGCTACATTATTTACTGGATTAAAATATATTATGGGCATCAACCCTTGCACATACCTTATATTTACTATGGTACATTTTAATCTAGAAATCTTCCCTTTGTTTTTCCCTTCTCTGTTACGTTAAAATAAAAATTACTTTCTGGAGCACAATTTCTACATGTGTCTTTACAAACGGTATCCGTGCGTATGAGTTCCAATTACCTATAGTTTTTGAGGAATGCAACCTATGAGCCTATAGCACCAAATATGACTCAACACTACCCCCGACTGTTCTCGCCTCATTGTTCTTTTCTATTTTATTAATTAGAGGGGATCATGTCATTTTTAATAAAACGCGTTATAAACTTGCAGCTCGTTTAGTATAGTATCTTTCTTATTGCTCATTTATTTGCCGTTAATTGCTTTACTACTTGCTGATCCATAGTTTTGGTTCTTCACGATATACTGATTAAAACCATTATTTATCTTTTTGTATTATCACCCGTCCATCATACGCATTACATTTCTTGGCTGATACTGGTTTTCCCCTATGTTAGCAAAACGGCAACTTTCAATGATAAGCACAACCATATATCAAGTGGCGCTTGTATTTCATGTGTTTTAGCAATAAATTTTTTCGAGTGCGTTGTGCTAATGCTAATTAGTATCAACTATTTTCTGATGGATTTACTAAATATTCCAACAGTTAAACACGGTCAATCAATCGCATCGCAGAGCTGCTAGCTCGTGAAGTCCTCAGGGATTACGTTAGCAAGTTATTACACTAAGGGTGGGATAGGTCTATGATACGCACAGACGTGTGACGTCGAGTCTGCTCGGCAGACTATCTGGTCTAGGAGCTTAGCTTAATCATGATAACATTTATGTTGAACCAATGCGCTCAGAGTTTTGTCTAGAAACTGGGAAACTGCAAGGGCCAAAGGACAGGATGCAACAGCCAGAAAAGGTTTTATACTTAATTTCCTTTCAAATGTGATTTCGTCTTGCTGAGGACAATTAAGCTTTTAGTCGTTGCCTCACGGATAAGTTAATACGCTGCCCAAATCATTGCAATAAGCGGAACCAGAAGTATGCTGTTCCTTGAAACAAAGGAAGCTCATCCTTTAGGGTCCAAGTCACACTATGGACAACAATCTCTAGGTGTCTGCGTAACCAGTTGCATAGGCAGAACTTTCCTAATAAAGGAACATGTGATGAGATGTATTCAGAGGTGTCTTACCATAAACCGTGGCCTTTCCAAGAGCCGTACTCGTGAGATCACTGAGTACATTAAGAGGCAAGCACATATTATTCTGAACTTAGCAAATAGAGCTTAACTTAGGTTCTGAAGTCCTGTTGGAATATCCTAGAACCTGCTTCTTTCGTTTCACTGAGTCCTTCGCAATAAGCCAATCCCTACGTTCAAAACAACTAATTGTCAAACCCAAGCTATCATGAGCTACAATGAATTTTAAATTACTCTGCATTTCAAGTATTCTGGTCGCATCTATTGTTAGTTACATGTATGCATACGTGTAACTTTTGATGGTAAATGCAGCATAAAATGCATGCATCTACCAGCATTTGGCTTATTTTATTGCTCATCATTTTTCCATATGCTAAAGTAATATCCGTCTGATCTATATGTATGCACCAAGTATGTGATCGCAAATTACGGGACTCACGATTTTGGAGGATGGGACAGTCTGTTAAAAGGCCTTACTTCAAAATGTTCCGAAAGGTAGTGCTGCTTTTTCTATCCTTAATTTACTTGCACTCATTAAATTGACTGTGTCTTCACATCTGCTTACATAAACAGGCGCTTGGTGTAGGAAAGTAGGATGCTTACTCTGATTGCTTCAAACATGAAGTCAGCATGCACGTGTCACTCTTCTGTTTCTATACCGATCATCCCAGGAGCTTAGAATTTTATGCATTTTGGTCCACCCACAGTCACATTACCATCCTAATTTTAGCAAGAGTAGTAGTGGAAAAGATGCAAAACTATTAGTGCTCCTTTTTTATCTCATTTGTGTAATGGCGTATGGCATTCATCTTCCATTGAGAGCAAACGATGAGTACATGTCCAGTTCTTTCATGGAAAGTATAATCTATACCACTGTTTTAATCGGCCATTCCAGGGGGCAATTTTTCTCAGCTCATCAGTCAACATGGTTTGACCACGTCCTTAAAATACCCGTCAGAATTCTGAGGATAACTTTAGTATTACGTATTTACAACGTACTTAGCCTTATTCCAGTAGTACTGTCTCAAGTTTCACACTGCTAGAAGTCATTAATTCTGTGCGGCCTTCAAAAGCAGGTATTATTATGACATATATACATTAACCCATCAAATAGTCAGCAGTCTTTTCAAAAGTGCTTCACTTGATAGCAATGGTAAGATAGAAATTCTAATTACATTGCATCTTGTTATCAATTGTTAAAGATTGTTTGGATGAGTTTAAACTACTCCAGATGGAATCACGTTTGTTATCGCTACAATCTGGCCAGTAGCACGTCTGCATTTTGACCAAAAGCGGACGGTCAGTTTGCAAACGCTATGATAATCTGTCCTTAATATTTGGTCTAACAAAAAGAAGGAACATTTTCTAGTTGATTACGTGGGTCCACAGCAATAACCTCAGAAATAAAAACTTCGGAATGTCATGCTAGTTTTATCTATTAAGGGTTAACATAGTTTTAATAACTACATTAACATTACTAGATTTCTGAATCAATCAGCTAGATTCTCCATGGCTTCCTAGATATTTTAACAAATTGTTCACGCACATATCACGCATTGCTCAGAGCAATATATTTGCAGTTCTAAAAGTCTGTTGCGAAACCAGCAGCTGCTCATTCTTTCACAAAATTACTGCATTTAAAATAACTATTTTGTGTTATTCCATTAAATGGCCAATCTACATGTGCCTAAGCCTTAGGTGAATGCTGTAAACAGAAAAATTAATTGATGCACAAATCCTTAACTGATTTCTTCGCAATGCTCGAAGTTATCGAAAATTTCTAAATTAACATAGTTTTATTATACATACTGGGGACTTAAATTTATATGTTTTGGCTTAGTTCGATTTTTGACACTTTAACCGGCGCGCATATCATATTAGTACATTAGACCAAACCATATAATATTCGGAAACTTACTTCCTGGACCGAAATCTTTTAATCCTGATATAAAATAAAGTAGCTGTAAAAATTTTCAAAGGTTCCACCTATACGGATATACATCGCTCGTATTAGTGTTAGAAAATCCTTAACAGGAAGCATAAGGAACATGGTGCATCGCTGTCTAATATCAGTCGGATGTTAAAGTAGGTGCCACTTTATCATTCATTTCATTTCTGTGGGCTTGCAAGTATTGTTTATGTTTTGTAGCCTGGGATTTGAAGGAGATGAGCAACCTGAGTTATTAGTCTTGTTTAAATAAATGTTAAAATGTGGAACCTTTCCGTTTGTACCTTTTGGATAACGTTATTTTAAATCCACGGAAAGCTGAAAGTTTGTCATCAAAATCCACTAGCAGCAAATTGTCGATGCAACTTTAAATGTAATGGCCTCTGTGGCCTTTTCCTCTATGGTTTAATTAATGCGATAAAATTATTCACTTGTCTTTTTTAATTTTTTGATGGCCAAAATGGTCAGAACAATGCTCCGTATAAACTTACGCAGCAAATGTACAGTCTTTCTTTAGCGCGAGGGTTTTCTACCTTTGGAGATTACCAGATGTCAACATGGATCCTGAAACTGCATCTTCTCCAATAATTTACCAGTCCCTAACATAAGTTACCTGCATTAGAAATACTTTAAAGAACCGTCAAATAGGTTAATTTTTGGGTTTCGGAGCACTCGTCCTGTGTCTTAGATGGTGACACGCAATCTCAACCTTGGACTCGGTTGTTTTTGTAGTCAACCTCAACCAATACGGTCACTGGGAACGTCATCAAAGTGATGGGTTTTAATGTTCTCTCCCATCCCGTCACTACACTACAGATGGATTAGGATTAACTTAAACTCATCAACTAGAAATTGCCGAGTTGGGAGTGGAACAGATCCCACATGGCTTGACTGCTATTGCCATCATCACTAGGCTATTGAGCTTCGCGAGCAGTGCTTGCAAATGCGGTTATAAGTTACTTTTCGGCTTTTGGAGCACCACCCGTTTGTCGTGAGACTTTGAAGTCAGATTCAGCGAACGCAGTCACTAGGACCGTGAAGGAAGTAAGGGGTTCCGGTCTGGCTGTTTCCCATTTCTGCACTCCGCGGCCGACGATTTCGTCCTAGGTTGGACTCATCCGGTCGAGATAGTCGAGCTGGGAGTGGAACTCGGCACATAGTCCTTGGTGGTTATCAGCATAAATACTAGTGATCATCATTTGTGTGATCATCATTTATGTGAAACTTTAAAGGATAGTCTAGTTAAACGGTTTTCACTTTCTAAAGCTTTGAATTAGAATGTAAATATCTAAATCGGCAGATAAATTCCTTTGCAATTAGCAAGTAATTTCGCTGCACTATTTAATGCCCACTGTTAGCGTTAAGTTAATACAACCTAACATCAAAGATCGAAACGTTTAGTACAATTACGAAACACCTACTGCGGAAAGGTAAACTATGCATTCACTTACTCTCTGTAATATCTATCGTAGAATGTAAATAAAATACCGGTTATACTTAGGTAGAACAATAACAATTGAAACCAGTGATTCCGAGATGAAGATGAACACGCACTAAAATCTAATGATCCGCGTTTCGTCGCTTTTGCTATTTACATCTCGTTCATGCTGAAAGAGCAGTTTGGAAGTAGCTTCTTGTTCTCTTTTGACGTTGCTGCATTGCACTGTGCTGTAACAAACTAATTAAAGAGTTGAATGATAAAATAGTTCACAACCTCTAGACTCATTCAGACAACCATCACATCCACATAAAGCACTGTACCGTCAGAAGCGCGATTCCATTAGAGCTCTGTGGGGTTATAAACCCTACACTGACTGTTAACAGGCCGACTGTCTATCGTTTCTTGGCAGTAAACTGCAAGTCCGTGCACAGTTAAGGGGCTATATCCCATTTTGTAACTTAACCGTGCCAGTCGTAACTGTCCCCGTAGCTTGGAGGTGTTCAATACGGGTTGCGGGTCCTAGCACTAGAGAAGTTTGATGATTTGCGCACTTTGACGATTTCCGAAAAGTATTAAAAGGTTATATTGTACTTTACCCGGCATGTAATGACTGTCTAACGGAGTTTAAATCTGATGAATGTTTATCTTTGTCCTAAGTTACAAATCCTTAGTTAACATACTACTAAAAATAATATTTGCTACTATTATAAATACCTCCTAATATTCAGGTGCAGCAGCGTAACCTCTTTTGTTACAGCTATTTGTGTTTTCAATTAAATTTTGTTAGCTACATTGTTTATTTTTAAAAGAGGCATAGTTTGCAATGGCACATTTAAATGATTGTCAGTTTCTGGTCTCATTAGGGCAGTAAATCTGGCACCAAGCTACATTAACAAGCAGTCCATTATATGCACTAGCGTTGGGTTAAAGGTTTTTAAAACGAATATGACATCACATCGCTCGGGTATGGAATTCGATAACTGCAATCGATCTTGGGTTAGCATTACAGAACTGCTTCATCCAGGAGAGAATCTTGGACAGAGCCACCAATTTATCATCTTTGTGATGTCATTTGCTGAGGTATCATGTTTAGTGTTATTATGCGGCACCAGCGTGTGTAGTGGAATCAGCCTTTAGCTAATAGCTAGAGCTTACGATGTAACAAGGAACATTGAACCTAGGCAATCTTATTCAACAGTTTTTATGTTAACGCTGTTTATAATCAGCCTGTACCAAGTTTAGATTAAGCTTGTTTATGCAATACTGTAACGCTTATCGCAGCACCTCTAGACAAGGAATGGGCATTAGTTTGGTCTGTTTGCATTTGCTTTGAGCTGATCGATATCACTTCAATCTGTGGGACACTATTTACTGGTTGTAACATGACACACAGTAAATTGTCCCCTATAAAGTATAGCAGCGACCTGTTATAGTCCCGAATGGACTATTACAATGGTTTAGTGTGTAACTAGGTATCCGCCGTACGCGAAAGCATTCATGTGTCAAATCACTTTGACAAAATTATAAAAACTGCCGTTTGGGTGTCGCGAGCTAGAGCCTACTCATTTGTCAATGACAATATTTCTTATGCAGTCTAAGACATATTGAGTGAAGTACTAATTTAACTGAGTCTCAGCGTGCTATGTGTCTGGTATGAGCAAATAGATCCATGAAGATCGCTTAGTGTCACTGCGCAATTTCTCTGGAGGAATTTTACACCGGACTCAGCGGATTCTACCGATGGTCAAGTTCTGTAACAACTGTGATGCGGCGTCTAATGGTTGCCACCTCATTGGTGAATGCGGATCGTATACTGCATCACTCTATTAGTATGGTTGGTAACTAACCATGATATTTCTCAGAATAAATGGAGCATTTCTCTAACTCGACATCTGATTGACTCGCTCAGATTTTCTGCTAAACAAGGTTTTTGCTCCAACATAGCCTGTGTAATTTTAAGAATTTCTTATGGCACTGCTTTTCTGTACTAATGGCTAGTTCCCGTTTGTGGGTACCTGAATATACTGCTTTGAATGCATTGAAAGGACTGAGTTGTTAGAACGAATTTCCTAGCTCTGGATGAGGCATTACATTTGCCATTTACGCGCAAAATTTGCAACTTGCGGTAAATAAATTTTTCGATTAGTAACATGAACAATATTGTAGGCCCGACGGTCACCCCTATATTGAAAACTATAACTGTTACGCACATTCAAAAGCGCCTAGTATTGTTAGAACTGCAGTTGGCCACATGACCATTCTCCTCCCATAGCTCGCAAAGGAATGGCATAATTACTGTTCTCGTTAGCATCCCCATGCCAAAAGGATCCGCTTGTAAATTCTTTAGGATAAACGTGCGCTACCGAAAGCGGAGCTGCAGTTTTCGTCTCTTTCATTATTTCCGAAAGGCACGAAATTAGCCATATCTTTATAATAAAACCTTTAAATATGTAAGGAGAGTTAAGTGCAACTCCCTGTTTTGTGTCAAAATACATCCGCTATCTGGAAAACATAGATGTGGATAGTTAATTCTCTATTTGATCTGACTGAGGTGTACTGCAGCATGTTAAAAATACAGGAATATGGGTTGTATTTGTGATACAAGAATATAATAGTACAGCAGAAATGCCGACTATTTTGCTATTGTTAATTATCTAAATATAGGTTTACTTTTGAAGATAATAAATAATAAAACAAAATTTTAGTTTGGCTGTAGATATAAGGATTTGCCTGTAAAATGTCCTCCAAGCTTAATGTGAAATTTACGCTTCTTACAATTGATTTGGAGAAAGTTACAGCAGACTAACAAATAATATTTCAAACGCAAAAGATCGGCGATGGACTGCGCTGCCCTAAATTTGGTGGGGTTCAATGCGCGACAATGCGTGTTTCATCATCTTTATCATCTGGCCCTAGTATAATTTTCCAAGCCCAGTCGTACAAGCGTGTGATTTTCCATCGAATTTTTGTCTGCTTCTCAGTAAGTTAATTGAAACTGTTCCAACTAACACATACGGAGGTTATGATGAGAATGTCTTGCACCAGACAACTTTTAGTAAGTAATCTGATGCATCAATCCACTTCTTGTACAGGCTTCCAGTCGACATTGAAAATATACGTTTTATAACATTTACGGCAATACCTAAGACTAGATTCAATACAAAAACTGACTTAAATGTATCAAGGTATTCGTTCTGTCAGCTCACAAGCTATATAGTACAATCCACATCAGATGAGCACTAGACCAGTAATATAAAATGTGACGCTCCTAGTGTCAAATGTGTCTAGTGAGAGGAAGCCATGATCTCTGATGCTAGCCACTGTGTTCTGCACTGGTAGTAACATGTGTTGTAATTGAAGATAGAACGTGTTATATTCTTTTTAACTTGCAAATTATATAACTCAACAACCGTCTCCATGGCTCAAGGGCGTATGCAGTTGGCTACCTTGCGTCAGACTATAGCAGTCATGGGTCCGATCCTCTGTACGGCAGCGAACGATGCGTACCACTGACGAGCGAATCTGGTGCTTCTTCGGATGGCGTTTGTGCTACGAACCTTGTGAGCAGCTGGCTTGCCGAACAATCTGGTGGTGCCAGCTGGGTGGTTCGGGAAATTCTCGTTCCAGTGAGCAGTTCGGCGGCAGTGTGCCAAGGCGAAGTGCATTTCCGCTTGGCAAGCGTTCTCCCCATAACCGGCCACTGAGGTCCGTTTAACAAAAATGCGAATTGCTGGATGTTATCCACCACTAAATAAAGCCACCACAACATGCCCAGAATGATGATCCCACTCCATCCACAGACGTTACTCCTTCACTTCTAAGGGTCTCTATGATCCATTCTTTCTCAAACAACCAGCTGAAACAATCACACATGCAGCGGTGCATTAACTGCTTCCTTTAACACGGCTGCACACATATCTGCATAAGCATGTACTCACACGATTCCAGTTTGCAACTGTTTAATTTGTCAAACATATGTAAAATTACAAAAGTAATTTTCTATTACCATGATCGTGCTTAGATAGTCATGTCTCCCAATATCAAGAGTAAGGAAACTGATTTATTCATCAACATTACAACTGAAATCGTCCTACTCAGTAGTAAGTTAAAATATATTTGTTTTACCACGGGAAAGCGCGTCTAAAATCCAATAATACCCCTCGATAGAGCCAAACTACTACATTAGGACTAGCTTACCTGTGCACCGATCAAATATAACTGAAATATAGGGTATTTCTTTAGTTAGGAGTTAAGAATTGTGTGATTAACAGAAACAGATTATGTTTACACTTTAACTATTGTGAATACGTACAGAAGGTTCACAAAAAGCAATCATTTCTTGGAAAATGTTCCAGCAGGCTAAGAATGAAATATCAGACGAAGGTCGATTCTGAGTGAAGAATTCTTTTCGATAAATCTCGTCAGACTCAAACTTTACAAGATGAGTATTCAAGATGGTGTCTGCATACTAAATGTGCCGGATTGGGCTACCTAATGTCTAGACAGTCTAATTCCAGCAATTATATTAAGTGGGAATTGTGGGTTGCCGAAGGTCAGCACTTCCCGTAATTCAAGCAAAACAGATGGTTCGCTTAACTACCAATACTTTGCATTTGTACTCCTGGCCAGTGTATGAAATCCTCAGCATAGCGAACGTCTACTCTGTTGTCAGCTTACTGCGTTTTCGATGATCGTAGATGACATACATGTATGCATGATACAACTATGTAAGTAAGTTGAGGTGATCAAGTGCCCACTGTAGCCGTTATACCTATTACACCGAAAACATTACTGCAGGTCAACACAATCTATAATTGAGCACGAGACCAATATTACTTTATTCTTGGCTCATAATTTGTTGTTTTAAGTCCATCAACAATTGTCTTTGCATTTGAAAAACCCATGACGAGCTATTCACATTAAAATGCCTGACCGGCAAATACGATATGAAAAGCGCACTTTCTTGTGTATGTAACTGATAAAATTCATTATTTGACACAGTGGCGTTTCAGCGCTCTAGCAGTGGTAAGGAAGAGGTACAGACTAATCAGCCTACTGCATGTTTTAAAGTAGTATGTACCGTTGAAATTTGCAACGCACATTGGGAAGGTGAGAACAACTCCAACAGTACGCCTTTACGCAGTACCGACCCTTCACTGCCGCGCAAACAACACAAGACGCATGCAGGCTAAAGATACTGCTAGGGTCGCCTGGCTCCTAGGCAGGCACGAACCCAGACTTGTGATCCTTAAGACTACGGGCTTGCATGAAGACGAAAGCTCAAGGTGTGTGGAGCACCAGCAGCATCCACTGCATAGTTCACCGCGTTCGGATTGTTTTCGTGAAGAAAAGTACGTATCTGCAAAAGTACATGCAGTAGTAAAACTGCTGTGCTTCCACCTCCCCTCCGCCAACGACCAGATAGTTCCGTATGTGGTATCTCAATCTCAATAATCCGTCACAAAAGCAAACAATTCAAAAGACACCCGCCATTCACTGAGAACGTTTCGTGGTACAGACCAACATGCTTAAAAATGGTGTGCATTTTTCAGTAAGGTTCATTTCGATAAAGTGATCCTTTTAATTTTTAATGAGCAATTAGCCCAGGACAAAAAAGCATCTCTAAATAATGTTTAATAATTCTTAGTAACACCTCAAAGCTACTGATCGATTTCAAGCAGTCATTTAGGTCTTGGAGATGGAGCAGACTGATTTCCTTTTTTAACTATCCTCTTCTCTTTGGTACAACGACCTTTGTAACAAATTTAAATGTTCACTCCGAGTTTAAGCTATTTTGATCGATCATCCGTTTAAAGACTAAAGTATTTGAAAGCGAAGGACTTGGCTACGTGCAGCTCAGAAAATTGATAGGCTATTTTACTGGTCATGACGAAGAAGCCATGGTAATACTAAGCTGATCCCCGGTTAAACGATAGTGAAGGTGTGTATTATAATAGACCTGAAATGGGGCCGGAAATAGGTAGTAATGCATTCCTGTCCAGACGGCAAAAACATATGATGGCTACTTCACTCGACCGTTTGTAACAAGTGCCTTCCATATGAGTTTACTGTTTAGCAGTGTACCAATTAGACAACACAATTCTATCTCATCGCTTTTATCATCCCCTTAAATTTCGGGACGAACTACCGCTTGGTCACTTGAAACCGGGTCCTGGAGGCAACACATGTTTGTAATCCATGCGCACTTAAATAGGTGAACTCATCCAACTAAATGTGGGGACCTTAGTGAAAAGAAAGTCGTATGTCGTATTTTTAAGAGGCACTTCGCATTTCACGTGTAAGCATCTTATCAGCCTCAGGAAAGTATAGTCCGTACATTTGGTGGAGCCTCCATAAGGATACGAACTGCATACATCCGGATTTTAATCTAGTACCCCACTTTACACAGTAAAATATTTAATATTCTAAATGACCTTCCAGCTTTTATTTTGAACAACTATGCTCTCACTTGTTACTGAAGGCATTGTGAACCTAATGCACATTCAAGTGGCACGGTTGAACATAAACTCTCCACTACAGTCATCATGCACATGGGCGCAAAACCTGTTGATTTCTTGGTTTAGACACGGGCTTTCTTTGAGCATGAAAAAATTGTTCTATGTAGCCATAATAAACAAAGATTTGTTCGCCCAAACCACCAACCAAAAAGCGAGTTCGTTTTTGGAGGTCGCATCTCATAATGGTATAATCGCGTGAGTTCTTGCCTTGGTTCATGATGAAATGTTCTGAGAAATGAAGTCGGAAGAGTTAAAAAATAAAAAACCCACATTACCTTCCTGTAGTTTGTAATCTACAGCTAAATTTCGTGAGTTCACCAACGCTCATTGATACCGTGAAACGCAGCGCATTTTGCACCATCCCCCTACGATGAGTGCGAAGAAATCCCGGCAAAACTGGACCATGATTATTTGCAGCGTGTTACACGTACCAAAATCAATTTGGTTGGAAAAAAATGTTCTAGACTCGGAATCATTATGGTAAGACGCCATCACCTTTTTACACCTCTCACGTTCCTTAGGTTTTATAAATTACTCGCGACGGCAGTCTGTGAGGCTGGCAGCTAAGTTTAACCATATCGTAGACAAATTTTGATTGACGAGTTGGAGGCCATATAACATACAACGCTACAATGTTGAAAAAAGCACTATATGCATTTATATATATACTTCTCGCTTTATTTCTTCAGTTGGATCTACAGATTTTCGAACCATCTGCATTTATTGGCTATATTGGCCCTATCATTAGAAAGATTAGTAACGTAAATTTTACGCACTGAAGCTCGCAAATTAAGCGTGTAACAAAGTGAGCAAGTTTAAAGCAATGGGGCTTTGATGCACTGGGATTACAAACGATCGGTTGTATATCATATACCGATAAAGACTGTGGAAAACGAGTGCAACTGAATTCACTATGTTTGGCTGATAGTGAAAATATATATACCAAATATTCGGGCGCGGCAAATATACTAAGAACTGTTAAGACGCGAAGATGAAAGAGTAGCAACGAACTAATCAGTTCTAGTAACTTTAGCGGATTCATTTGATTTTAATCACTGCAATTAAAACCACTCATTTAAGATAACTGACTACCGGACACGACTACGTCCTCTATAATGCTCAGGGGTACTGTGATGACTTATTTTACGGTTAAACAAATTAGTTAAGATTACTGCTATAGTTATTGCATTACCTAAGCTCCTAACTGGTAAAGACACTGGTTCGTTTGTAAACCTAATGATGGAGGAAAAAATCTTCGTATGGCAACTCGAGTCCTTTGCAACAGTTGTTTCGATTTCGTTCGAATTTGGCAAGCACGAGCGACCTGAATTGTCTCAAGGACTTTTCTCATAACTTAAACTTATTTTGGCCAAGTTCAAACTAGAGGACGATGGAAGTTCGCATCACTTATTGTCTCCATCACACCCGGATCAATAAATGCTTGGATCTTTCCCATTTTCTTTCCTTGTTACGCATGCAAGATTAATTTCTGCGCTAAAGTGTACCGGTTGACACATCATTTAACACTTTGGCAATCACTACAGCAAAGCGTAGCAGTCTTTATTAAAAATTAATTCCGAGTCCTAGTGTTGTTGCCGTATTTACCTCTCACGCTGAGGCCGATGATTGTTCAACACATATTTCGATTAACAATCGTTCCCTGTTTTAGCTGACTTTATACTTTTTGTTCTTTCACCCTAAGGTATCCTGACTAGTAGGATAGATTACATACAAAAGGTACAATATGCACAGCACGTCCACAACATAAACCCACAGAAAAGTAAAGTAATAAAGTGCCTATTCTATTTATTTTATTTACATGGGCTATAATAACCATAATGAGTATCCATCAAGATCGACTGCAGTTCAGCCAATTTAGCAATAATTAGTTAAGCGAAATCTGACAACGTTATGTGTGTTGCATACAGAAAATGTGCATAAATCACTCCAATACACTTTTATTGTTGCCGTCAATAAATAATGGTGGAAACTCACAACGCAATTCGTATAACTCTGAAAGAAAAGATAGCGTTGTGTCACTATTCTGCTGCTTTCGGTTATCCAATCCGTATAATAAACCGATGTTTGAAATTGGCCCCCAAAGAGGGAAATGAGCTTTATTTGAGTAACACTCCTAATAAAAAGTATAACAAAATGACGCAATTTCTAAAGTAGACGATTCTTAAGACTAAATCAAGTAAATCATGCGGTGTACGCAGCAATTGCAGTCTGGTTCTGGAATGAGCAATCCTGTATGTCTAAACAGGGCAGAATCAAGTTATAACCAACCAGTAGAAACAAGCACCTTTTATAATTGTGGTCGCTAATCGGTAAATAATCTACTGCAATTCATCACCTAAATAGTTCCCAGCCAATAGGAACGAAATTGTTTGATTAATATAAAACGAAGTCTACAAGTTAATGTATGCTTCCAGATAAGAACTTGGTACAACGGTCTCTACTGGACATTTCTTCTTACAATTGAAGCTGAAGTAATTATTTACCGAGGGTTAAAGAGAATATGCTGTTTTTGAAAAGCGTAATTTTTGGTATACCCATACTGCTATTCTGATATATATGCAATTATATAGCCGAATGGTGCCCCTTGCTGAGGCTGATGTTGCATTCCTGATGTTTCTTCACCGCAGTTGGGATAAACCAACTTACACTTAAACTAGGTCTTTTTAACGTGGATAAAATTCATTGCATCTTATTTGGTTTGTTCAGCTTACTTGATAAACTTCTCCCAACCTGCATACGTCGTTCACGCAAATTGTGGTAATCTTGCGTAATTTTATCGCGTGGTATTTTTTAAATAACTTTCGGAAAGTTTGTACTTATCACGGATTCACTTATAACCAATTTCTTCTATATGCTCATTTAGTGCGTATTTGTGTCGTCATATGCGTTTACTTTATTCGATATCGGTATTTCGAATGATTGGCTGTTGTTTGATATCCCAGGGTTGGTTGCGCTTGATGTGCATATTGACAAGGTGTCTACCTGTCTATTACCCACTAGCTCGTCCATACTGGCTCCAGGAGACAGTTGGTCGTTGCTGGAGGGGACGGAGTGCACGGTCCTTGTGGTCGTGCTAGGCTCGAAGAGTGGTTCCATACACTCAGTGTGGAGCGGACTACGGTCCAGCCACTGCCTTGTGTGCACTTGATTCTCCAAATAGAGCGTGCTTGTGTTTGTCTGTGAAGGAGTGTGGGCCGGCTAAGTTAATGAAACGTGGCTCCCATCCGCATGCCTCCCGGTCTTATTGCTTCGGGTTTACACTGGATATGGGGTGTGTGCATGGAGCTGTGGGTGGTGCAGTGCAAGCCATCCATGGTCCCTCTGTAGGCGCAGGCGTCCTTTGGCTGATCACAGTGACAAGCAAATCCGAAACTAGATGCCGCCAATCATATAGCTGAATAATGAGGATGGTGTCGCCCACACCATGCTTTTTCACCGCAGTTGAGCTACACTGACTTACACTTAAGCTAGATCTTCTGAACGCAGGATCAATAGTATCCCACTTTTTTGAGTTGCGCAGTTCTATTATTCTGCTGCATATTCGGTGCCAGTTTGGTGTTTGTAGTTTCCCTTAAACGCTTGCTTGGGTTTATAATATCCCCGGTCTGGCTGCGCTTGAGGTGAATGTTGACAAGGTGCCTATCTATCAAATAACTTCACCTCGATTATTGGCTGCACGAGCCTGCTGATCCGTGTTTGGAGGACTGGGTGACCGTTTTAGTCTTGAAGTGTGATTTCATCCAGTGTGGAGCGGACTACTTCCCAGCCACCGTCTGGTGTAGTTTGGTACGTAAGATTCTGAATTAACTAAACAGAAATGCTGCTGTTGTGCATGTTGAAGGAATGTAAGCCGGATCCAATAATGTAACGTGGTTCCCATCCACATGCCTCCCGGTCATATTCCTTCTGAATTACACTAGATATGAGGCGTATGGATAGAACTTCGGGTGGTGCAGAACGAGCTACCTATGGTCCCCTGTAGACGCAGCCTTCCTGCAGCTATCCTCATAGAGACCGCAGTCGCAGACAAATCCGGAACTGGTTGCCGCAAACCATAAAGCAGTTTACGCCTTTTCTATATATACCCAAATCCACGGTTATTAAAAACCAGCTTTACACAGCTCATACACTGAATATTTTATTTTCCATGCCAACCATGTTTACTTGTGAAATCAAATGCATCGAACTTGAACGGTTTAGCATACTACTAATAAGTTGAGCGCTGAGGAAAATAATTACCCAAGATATTGCTTAAAACTATCCCAAACGAATGTTTAGTCATTTCTAATGGGTCCTATTAATAAGCCTTTCCAACAAAAGTGTCTTTATGCAATGTCTTTTCGAAGTAAGAAATTCTAAACTCCTTGCAATTAGCGTGAACTTGACTCCAAAATAGTACTTAAAATATGTTACACATTTTTTATTCCCTTCGGATTTGAACTGTAAATCTTGTGTTCAAAATAAGTATCCTATTGCTCTAGATGCGCTCTGTCTTGCTCAAAAGTAACTAAACTGTAACATACATGACTTCACAAGCTGTGGATATGAACTTTACTTCTATGCATAAATACGTTGCGGTGCACGGCCTTGGTTGTTTTCTATTTTAGAGTATAAACTGTTTGAAACCGAGACGCTAAAGAGTAAGTATCTACAAAATAACATACTGTGAAAAAATAAATCATCCCTGGTAAGCGCCACCGGTTCTTGAGTATGGTGGGATAAAAAGCATTAATCTTACGATACCCACAAATGGAATAATGCAAAATAAATTGAAAGCAGCAATTTAGGGTGAAATGTAAATTATCAGTAGTTTAGACAACTCATTTTAGCTATGCTGTAGCATCCATCCCTAAAATGAAAGTTTGCTATTCTCCTCTAGTGGCGCGATATTTGTTGTATTTACTACACGTGTTGGTATTACATTCCCGTGAGAACAGATTTTAACTGATTAAAATAAGTTTCTGCCATCAGAAAAGTAGTGTGGCGTTACTAGCTGCGGGTGGTAGGGTCGGGTTTGGTTGTAATCGTCAAGGGTCAGGAGAGATGTACATGGGTGTGTGCACTCAGTTATTAGTAGGAATGTAGGAAGGAGATCTCTGAAAAGCTCCCGGTATTCTGAGAAGAACACACAGATTAATAGTAGGCACAGTTCGTAACTCAGAACGGATAGTCCATGTGTTGCTTTGGTGTCTACTCCTTGAGGCTGCTCTGATAGACAAATGTCATGTTTTATCGATGAAATTCAGACCAAAACCGTATATTTAAAGTGGAGACAAATGCACACCTTAACTAGTAGTGGTATTTGTCATTGCTCAAAACTATCAAGGGCTCGTCTCGAAAACCTCAAGTTCAAGTTAACCACATTTGTTTCTTTCGAATATTGGAGCGAAGTGACAAGACTTTTTTGTGCGATGATACTTAAGTTTTGCACACTAGTCATGTTTTGCCGAACTTGCTGTTCCAAAAGATATGTCTTTATGAATCTGCTACGCACCTTCAGGTGGAAATTTTGCCGCATTCACATGGAAGGGATTCATTTCATTCCATTCGTTAATCTGGTCTAGATCCTCCTGAGGACAGTCACCATGGGAGGCTGAGCATATTGCTTTTCATAGATTTGCATCAAATGGAAATATTTGCATCAGTGATATAATTGCTTTCTGCAGGTCATTCATGAAGATTAAAACCAGTACTGGAAGTTGGATGGGTTTCGCACACAACTGTAGACGCACAGCCTTCCGGAGTGAGTATCGGATACTCTTACCTTGATTGTTCAGTTGTGTAGGTAATCTTTCAACCAGGTGAGCAGGGGAGCGTTGATACGTGGGCAGCAAGCAATTTTAAGGGAAGAGTGTGATTGACCCTTTTGAATACCTTACAAATGTCTAAGTTAACCACTTATAATGATCTCCTTCCTCAGCTGCCCTGTCGTTGGGTACCAAGGAAGAAACAGCTTAGTGAGACAATAACGTCTGCGTCCGAAACCATGATGAACATTAGAAAGCCTTGGCAGACTCAAAATATCCCGTTAGTTCATCTGCGAGTACCGAAGCCATCGATCTTGTTAGAACAGACAGGAATAAAATGGGGCGGTACTTGGCAGGATCAGATCGCTTACCTGCTTTGCATATCGGTGCTGGTTCCATTATTCTAACTCAGATGGGGGTGGATCAGAGTCAAACGGAACATGGAAAAAGGCCAAAAAGTGTACTTCTTTGTTAGGGGTAAGAGTTTTAAGTGCATTTGGAGAGGTTTGAACGATTCCTGGGTATTGCTTTCCCAGCCCTACGGTAATTTTCCTACGACAGTCCCTGGGGTAAAGGTGACGTTACATAATCCGACGGTATTTGTCGGGACTTAAAATGGTGTGTTTTCCAAGTTATGTGTAACCACTGAGCCAAACAGCAGGAGTAGTGCGTTCACGATAACCACGGCAGTAGTCATCAGAACATTGGTTGTCTTGAGTGATGTTATTCCATGAATAACCTTACTGTTGTCATTCGCATACCTATAGAGCTATTTGATGTTACTAGTGAAAGTAAGTACCATGGTCTGTTGCCATTTGTAAGTGGCTTCTCTAATAAGTGTCAAGCATTAGCTTCCGACTGTTTTGTAATTCCCTCATTTTATTTCACATGGACATAGCATATATTACCTATAAATGTCTACTCTTCTATTGATCCATTTACGTGTTTTGCTTACGATCCAACTGTCGGTCTGGCGCGATTCTCGTAACGGTACAAATTTTGCGGATGCCTGTGTGACCTAGGAAATTTTAACTATCAATACATTCATTGCGTCGTTTGGCAAAACTTGCTGCTGTTGATCCCAATCAATGGTTGTACTTATTTTGTGAATCTTTACTTAGTCAGTAATAGTCCGCTGGGTTCGTTTCTTAACAACAATACTTGCATATAATACAATAAAATGTAGGTTCCTACTACCTAGTAGCGAGTAGAGTGCGATTGACTAAACTATTAACTTACCAGTATTGATGACAAGTTTGTGGCGCTGTGTCTGCTTGCCCGATATACATGGATATACAAAACTGCCATCTCAATTAACTCAATGAGCTTTGATTCAAATGATGGCCCACTGCGCTTAATGGTACTG